TGCTTGAGCTTCGTTCTGCTTTGGCTGGCAGGTGGGCATAGGAGTCCCCAGCGCAGCGCTCCACTAGCCAGACGCTCTGTACATGCTGCCTCTTGGGCTGCTGCTTTCTCCGTCAGTGAAGTGCAGAGGCTTTGTGCACAAGCAAGAACTTGTCCCAGGTGGTGTCAAAGTAAGAATTCCAAAAGCAAGATTCAGAAGCTTTATAGAATATCTCTTTCTCATTCCCTTTCTGAAAGACCTTCCCAGACTAAGTGATAATGCAAGACAAGGCCCAGCAACACAAAATACCTATTTCTTTAAATGTTTCGCAAGCTTTCCATCCCTCCTGAGTAATCCCTAGCTTCTCACATCTTCACTGATTTTTTTTTTTTTTGGGGGGGGGGGGGGCGGGGGGGGGGAGCACTGAACAGACAAAATGAATAGGGGGTGAAGAAACAGAAAAATAGCAAAATACAAAGCTTCATTATGACAATTTTTATGTGATGGAGACTTCCAGAAAAGCCTGCAGGCACTACTCACAGTGGGTTAGTACGTTTTCTTTCAAGGTAAATACTAACTAATTCAGGATATTCACTTTACCTTCAGCATTTAATCTTTACAACGACAGAATTCACAATGCAAGACCTTGTATCGATTCCTAGTTTAATACCCAAGTACACTGAAGCAATAATTGAACACAGACTTGGGAACAGCCTTTACCTGCACATAAGCTACTTTTGTAGGCCACAGACTTGTGATCTGGGGTCCCAACTTAATGTAAGATAAACTAGGCGCTCTGCTATTATGTGAGAAACCAAAACATTCCTGAAAAGGAAAGACAAAATATGAACATTAGCAAAGCAATTGTCATTACTAAAAGTAGGAAACTAATTTAAGTTTTTAATTCCGATCCTTTAAAGGTTCTTTTCTGACTTGCAAGTCCTGAAGACAAATCCTACCCCGAAGGCCAACTTACTGCGCGTTCTCATGATTTTTTTTAACTACTTTGGTAAATACTTGCCTTGCAATAAGGAAGTAGAGAGACATGAGACAGGAGGTTGTTAAGTGATCTGAATATTGTCTTACAAGTTTTTAAAGAGATTTGTGATAACGAGCTCTTCTAACAAAGGCGTGCAAGAGGCTACTGCTTAAAATTTAATTTGGAAAAAAACAAAATAGAAAGTGTTTTTAAGAATTAGGCTACTGGAATAATTCACGTAGGAAACAGCTATTTTAAAATCAGAAGTAGATGCTTATCGCCTCCAGTTTTATTGCAGCATCCACAGCTGCTGTGCTTCTGCTAAAGCCGCTCAGCAGCATTGCCCCTTACCAGGCCCTAGCCCTGGTTCTCTCCGGAGGGTGTTTCCCACGTACATAACCACCCTAAGCCTTTCTCTCTGCTCCCAAACTGCAAGGCAGAGTAGCACAAGGACTGAAGCAGTAGAATGATGCTATAGAAAAACAAGTTCCTTCACCAGCTGCAAAGTGTAAGGCTCAAGGGGTTTATGAAGAACATTGTGTGGCTCTAACGTGTCTTTTCTGTTTCCACAGCTCTTCTCCTCCCTCACAGGCATGGCTGTGTGCAGGATGAGGATGTTCACCATCATGAGAGGATGTTTAAAAAAAATAAAGAAAACTGAGCAAACTGCTAATTACTGACTATACTAAGCAATTAATTCTGGCAGAAACTTAAATTACCACCTCATTTTTCGGGCGTTTTTTTTCCTCAGAGAAGTGTCCTTACATTTAAAACACGTGCATGGATATCTGATCACTGGAAGTTCACTGTTGAAAAGACACATGAAGTTTAGAGGGGAGGAGGTGGAAAAAAAAGCCAAGCACCTGGAAAACACTTCATTGCTTCTTTATTTAGATGCACCCACAGTACAGAGCCTCTTGAGCATGTGCAAAAGAGGAGGATTACACATTTATAGCTGGGAGCACCATTGAGTTCGAGATTCTTTGATACCATTTTTAAGAAAGTAAACTATTTCCAAAGAATGACATTTGAATCCAAGAGCTTAAGACCTGCTTGTACTTTATCCAGAGGTGGAAGGTATTTTTCTTTTATTATTACTTTGATGTAGAGTAGAAGACATTTTCACAGTCTGGTTGGACCAGTCTATATATTTTCATACGCACCTTTCAATATATATAAAAATGGTTTCATTTTTCCCCCCTACCCACAGATAGTTAAATGCATCTAAGTTTAAAAACAGTAATGGACCAGAGCATTCCTATGGGGAAAAATGAACTTTTGCTGCCCTCTCCTGCTTAAACAATGAAATGCTAAAATATTAAGATCTATGACTAATGCTAACCTTTAAACAAAAAGCATGACAGCTCATTCGCTATACTACAATCAAAAATAGGACAACAACAAGAAATGTATCGGTACTATTTATATTTGAAAACTCCTCATCAATACATGAGGTTATGAATATAACATATTTACAGTAAGTGATCCAAATAACAAAAACCTGTATTCAGAGAGGTCATGATAAAAAGTGTATGCTTCTGTGGACAGGAAGCAACACTTGGATAAAAGTTTTCAACCAAAATAAGCTCCATTCTGCTTCAAGATACAGTTTCATAGACTTCAAAACAAAAAACTGGGCTATACAAAATCTGCTGCACGTATCAACTAGAAAAACAAATTTGTGGCTCACTACAGAGCTGCTAAGGGAAGCAGGTGAGCCAAAATAAAAAAGCCACATGTAACTAAAAACATTCTTCAATCTTGCACATTGTCACCTTTGTCTGGTTTTAGGGCAACTGCTTTGGGATGATATCGTTCCACAATTAAGTGAAAAGGCCATCTTCGTTTTCCAAGACAGAACTACAAGCAAATTATTTCAGTTTTACATGGAGGAGAATAATCTGGTCTACCCCCCTCCTCACAAAGCAATAAAGAGGTTTTTTAAGCTCCTAATGTATTTTCCTTTCCGTAGAGTGAGAGAGCCTGAGGCTGTACTTACGCACGTACAATGCAAGTACAGCTGCTGCATTTCTTACTCAAGCAATTCTTGGCTCTAACACCCTCAAATTTTCCATATACAGGAGGAGATAAAAAAAATAAATTAAATCCTTTTATTTATGCTAACAAAACCAAGATTAAATTTACTGTAAGCCTGCTAGTGAATGCTCCAACGGCATTAGAACACTTTTATTTAAAGCATTCCGACCTTTGGAAGACAGACAAGAAACACTCAAAAGCAACAAAAAGGAAAACAGTCAGGGAGACTTGCAAGATGAAGAAAGCAATGTGTGCTCAATTTGAAGTATATGAGAGGAACTTTACTTTTACAGCTGTTACATCCCCACGACCTGATGCAATGCCCTAGTACTGAAAATGCAGCTCTTTCCTTATACCAGAGAGCATTCAATCCTTTCTCCTGAAACCAATATGGTACAGGACACGAGCAACCACCCAGCAACTGCTGTACGAGCAGTGAACAAAAACATTTACACAAATAAAGGTAGTTTCTGGAACTCAAGAAGCAAACGAAAGCATAATTAGACAGACGCACTGATCACACTTGGGCCCATACGCTGCCTCCTTCTTCGCCTACAGCTCCAACCGACACCAACGGGAGCCCTGCAGAGCGGCGGGACATCGCGTTTGGGTCGCGGCAAGCAGCGGATCCCGGGGGTACGGCCGTATCGCTGCGGCAAGCGCTCCTTCATGGACATCGCACAGCGCGACCTACTGTCGTGTCAGCCTCTTCGAGTCAAGTGACTAACATCGCATCGTCTCCGTCACTTTAAAGAAACGTTCCTTCTTGGAAGTGATAAATCATCTATAAACTTTAGAGACTCCCCACTATCCCCACATCAGAGGTAACATCAGAGGTAACGAAATATTGCAACCCATCAGGTTTCTCATCAGTTTTGTATGATCAATACCAGAATGTCATGTGAAAACCAAAAATAGTTATGAACAAACAACACTCACCTAAACTCTAAGTACAGGACAAGGTGCTTTTTCTAATTTCACATTGCTGTGTTTTACTCCACCAGGTGGAAAACATAAATATTAACCTTTTTTCCTCCATTCTATCTCAGTTTTTCACAATTGAACATAGTCTTTGAGCATGAGTTTAAGTCCACCCTATTGTAAAGCATGAGCATTTCAGACAGAAATCACACTAGCAAAATTTTTTTCGTAACAGAAATAAAAGACTGCCAAAATCAATGGGCTAAGGGACATGATTTGTTATAAATTTATTTAATCTTCAGTATTTCAGCTTGCACCTTTGCTTCAGAACTTTAAAATAAAATGTTTCAACTATGACAGTAACTGCCTAATTTACATTGCGTCCCAGTCAGTGTTCTTAAAAGAAGCTCATATTAATCCTATTAAACCATGTGGTGTTTGGTGTTGCATATGACTAGTTCCACTTTTTTTTTTTTTTCCAGAATTAACAGTGTCAGGCTTTTACAAAGTCATTGAGTTTACAACATTTGTGTGCGCAGACTCAGGAGTACAAACTGTGACCTGATAATCCTGAAACAGTCAGTAGTCTAGGAGGGAATTCTTTTTAACCTCTTTTCTGTGCCTGAAAACAAGAAAACGCCAAATCCTACTGTATATTTAAATGGTAGGAAGAAAAATATACAAGCTTGTATTTATACTGCATTTCTATCAATGGCAACAGGCCATAAATTCATGTTTGCAACTATCACAAAGACTCATGAACACCAATTCAGTTTTATACTGTAAATACTGCTGGATTGATGGTTTAGGATTATCAATTCACTGTTGTCATATGTCTCTAACAGTTCAAAAGCATCCTGGAGAAAAGTCCCGAAACACATACCTTTCGGTATATAATAATGCAACTGCATTAGCTAAATATATACTGTACATAAGTCTTATCAGCATTTTACCTACCAAAGATGTAAGATTCCACTTTCAAATACAAAGCAGATAGCCAATAATGTATACTTATAATACAGCCCTCTTCTTTGTTTTTTGTATTTTTTTTCTTTTGTTTTAAACAATTTGGTCACAATGCACCTTTGATATAAAAGCATTTTAAACTTTATTATTAATACTCAGAACATTAGGATTTCCAGAATTTTTTTCAGTAGCATTTGTAGAACCACTTTTGGTAACAAATACAGTAGTTAGGAATGAGCATCCAGATGAGAATGCAGAAGTATATTATCCAGAATCCTTTCCAGCTAAGACCATAGGGCTGGTACTGCGATGAGTAATAGTACTAGAACCACAAAAACACTATAGTATGTTTCTTAGAGGCTACATCCTCTTTTGCTGGAACACTTTATAAATACATATTAAAAAGTAAGGCAACAACTCCAAACAGTCCAAACTGCTATCTCAACTCAATTTCCAACTAGATCCATGACCACTGGAGATCAATTTCATGCTTGCACTGTTTAGTGTTTGTCTTTATTCTTTCCAAATGGTCCAATAAAAACATACGGTAATAATTTAGCAATTAGTATTTCTAGAACAACTCTGGTATGTGTGTCCAATGCCGTATCACTAATACTGGTTAGGAACAGAAGTCCAGGGTGTTACCACTGCCCGTTTTTAAAGGATTGTGGACACTATATCTTGGATTTGCAATAAATAGGTGCATGAATCCAAAGCTCCCTTTCCCACTACGTTTATCACCTACTTGTTTAACTCCTAATGTTCAAATTAAGGAAGCACCAGAGACAGCCTGGTACTAAAAAAATGCTCACACCAGTAAACAAAACTTTTATTCAGGACCTATGTTTTCATGGCCCTGATCTGAATGGACATTCAACTTATGAAGATGTGCAAAAGGAAAAAAAGTCAAATTACAGTAAAGTTATCCAGAGAAGGAGGATGTTACACAAACTCATAAGGAAATGACAGTCTTTTTTCTCTTTTACTATAAATACACTTAACAGTTTAGCAGAAAGACAAGCTAAATTTTAAGATTGTTCACATTTGAAAGTCGTATTATACTCTCTGCTAACGATAAATAAGGAACAGGTCCTGACAATGGAATCTGACATTGCAATTTTCATCAACAGATCTTTGAAGACTGGTATTAAAGAAGGGTTAAAACAATGATTATGTTTGCAAAGTTCTGAGAAGTCCATCTGCTGTCCAAACTTTGGATTAAAGTCCTTATTTTTTTCCTTTACTTAGAGACAGGTATATACAGTGCTGTTGTAATAATGAAACAAATGTGAAATCTACTGTAAAGTTGCACAATACAGAAAACTGTTGCTCCATCTTCTACTACATAAATGTGTGACTCCACAGGTTAATAATGCTGTTTTGTTTTTCTGTTAAGTCGGAATTATTCCATCACGTCTAAGACCTCTCTTTAATTCCAAATCCTCCAGTTTTTTCCACAGTTCTTCACGCTCCTTCTCTTTCTTCTTCTCACTGACAGATGAAATAAAACAAAGAGTTAGCAGGACAGAAGACTGTAGAATACTTACGTTAAAAAATATATAGCTGACATTGATTAGCAGCACTAATTTTGTCAAACACAATTGCAATTTTCCTAACACATTTAATTTTTTAAAATCTTTTTATTATTTTTTGTTCTTCATTACCTACACAAATATCACTAAACAAAGCAGTACGAAAAGAACATAAAGCATAAGCTGAACGAAGTGACATAAGCTGAATGAAGTGACAGTGTTCATAGGCACGAATTTGTAACGCAGAAATAAAAAATGCAGTGGACTTTATTACAGAACAAATATAACATTATTATAAAAATTAACATTTCAGGACTAAGCTGCATCTAATTATTTTCAAGTTTATTTATTTAAGCAAGGTATTTTTTTAATCTCAGAAATAACAGCCACTTTCCAGAACAAGAGCTCCCTTATTCTTTTAGGATCACTGCTCTTACTTACATTGACTGGTGGCTTTCAGAGACCTTAGGTACCAGCCAAGGGAAAGTTCAAGCTACAAGACATGCCTTTTGTTCAGTGATTTACTCTTCTTCCTTATCAAATTTCTACAAGACCTATGTAGCACTTGCTTTAACAACAGACTTTAATGGCTGATTTGATGAAATTAAACAGCTAACCTAACATTTACTTTACCTGCATTATTTGCTTTCTAAATTTCCTATCTCTGCCATAGCTTACTTTGAATAAATCTCCTTGATACTGCAAGGTACAAAATGCTTTCAGTTTCTATTACATCACCTTGTAGATTCAGATGAAACAGAAATCTAACAATTCTAGAGATATAGATTCTCTGCCAATCACATCACAGAATCCTTGAAAAATATTTCAGTGATTACAAACATCCCTACACATCTGATTCAGTCAAAATGCCAACATCTGGCTCATTTATTCAAAACTTTAATTTCCCAAGAGTATTTTAAAGATATAAAAAAAATACAAACAACTTTCAGATAAATCCCTGAAGAACATTAAGGGGGGGGAAAAAACGCCCACTGTCACTAGAATGTATTTCAAGTTTAATATAAGAATAAGTGAAATAGCCTGACATTTTCAGGCTACTTACCGATATTTATCTTCTAATCATTATGAAATATATACCTGCTTACTTAAATGACTGTTAGAGGATGATCACCTCATCCAGCTTACCTATTTGATCTATCACAGTCATTAATATTGAACACATTTCTCCCAAAGCTTTAAGCGGTATCAAAGCTACCCTTTGGAAATGCTGTTTTATTAAGATGCTAAAGATTTTCTGTGAACATTAAGGTAAATATTCCAGTTTATACATTCAGGTGTTTACACGTTTTAAAATGATAAGCAGTAAATAAAAATGGTGAAACGGTTAGCACCAGCCTTGATGGGAGATACAACGTCAGCAGGTGCAAGAAAAATTCCTTGTGCAGTTCAGTCAGAAACCTCACCATTATCCTGACACGGGACATACGACTGCAGTGCCCGGTCCTGTTAAGAGCAGAGCTCCTTCCTCATCACAAATTGATTTAAGTCACTGAGGTCCCTCAGTAAATGACTGCATTAGATGACCAGTCCTAAGATTCTCTGCCTTTTCTGCTAGAAAACCGCACAGTGCTGTCTCAACTGCTCTAGCAAATTGAGCCTGATTTACCACTAGAATTCATCTGGCATCTTAGGTCAAATACTGTATTAATGAACTAACCTGTTAAGTCTAGATTTTTCGTGTATAAAACTTCGTATTTTACAACAACAAAGCAGAACAAAAGGACAGTGTGACTCCAGTCACACAATTCAAAAAATACGGCCTCCAAGAGGCTTTAGAGACTACAGTAACCTAACAAGGTCTGATGACATACACTAAGTACCCTTTGCTTTGCTTGGGGGAACCCTGAGTCACAGAATAGGTACGACTTAAATGAAGTTGTAAACCCCTCAGAGTTCCTGAAGCTTCCTCATTTCCTCATTTTTTTTTTCACGTGATGCTTTGGACAAACCAAAGCTTTTAAGAAAAGATGCTGCACTATAATTGGAAAAAGAAGATTAAGGAAAATAGGAGAAAAGACAAAAAGCATTTTATTAGGGTGGAACTAATGATCGTACGAGCGGTGTATCTAATGGATTCTGCATGCTAAAGACTCAGATACAGCAAGACTTCTGAATAAGAAATGAAAGGGTTGAGAGATGCCTCTTTGCTTTAAGACCACATCCAGCCTGGAAAATCAAGTCTCAGGGTTTTTCCTCATATCTCTTTCCAAACCTCAACGTAACTTTTTTGAAGCCTTGAAGCAAAACGTTATCTTTAAACCCTTGTCTTTCTTTTATTATTGAAGATCTTGATACATTTAAGTCTTTTGGAATGTAGAGTCAAAAGGAATTCCATGAGGAACGCAAATTCCCAAGCAATGCAATGGATATGCATTTCATAAAGGGTAAAGGACAACCTGTACGTGGTATTATCTTACATCTTGCAAAGACAACGCTAAAGACCATGCAGGGGGGAAAATGAGGCATTGTGTCCATTATGCGTGAGACTAGGCAACTGCATCTGTGTGTAAGGGAAAAACTAAACAGCAGGCCTTATGCACAGCTGACAAAAAAAGCTTTAGAAAGTTACCGCTGACGATCTGACTTGTAAGTGGCTGTCAGCTCGTCAAACATGGTGCTGTTCATTTCCATAAATGCCTTCAACACATTGTAGACTAAAGCCACAATAGCCCTGTGAAACAGTGAAAAAAGAAAAAAAAAAGAGTCTATTAGTTTCAGGTGAAATCAAACGTGAAATAAAAGTGTCTTCTCTTACCAGCATTTCTGCGACCAATTCTGCTCTTGCAAGTATGATAATGTAAATTCTTTGATTTCAGTGAAACTACTTTTGATTAACATATTTAAAGGTGAGAATCAGCTTTCATGTCTCTACTGACTACTTAAATGGAGCAACTCAAAACTCTAGGGTACAAGGTAACAACAGAAAGCTATTACATATAACTACAGAATCTTCCCTCATGCTGTGGAGCAATTCTGAATGCAACTCCAGGGATTCAAATCATCAATGCTGGCAGGAGGACTAGAATTTAAACATAAAACAGGAGCGATTCGTATTTCCTTATGATTTTTCTGTGAAGCTGGATATTCAGTATCAGAAATACAAGGCTTATTTCAAGGGTGATTTCCTCGTACTCATACATTTCATATTCATTTTCACTTCGGTACAGCAAAAAGCTCTAAAAAAAATGCCACAAATCCTTCAGATGAGTGCTGCAGTAATTGTGTGTGCGTATATATATATATAAAAATAAATTAAAATTATATATTTTATATAATTTATAATTCTTGTATTTTTAGATACATATTATATATATAGTATCTATATCTCTGTCTCTCTCTTATAACCTCTGCCTACTTTGCTTATTGCTGTTCCTGACCTTACCCAAGACCCAATACAACACTGCTTATTTGAATCCAAGTTGCTTAATCGCATAAAACATGACAGGCATGATCTGTTCATACAGGAAGAAATGATGTACAATACCAACAATTTCAAAAAGACTTCAAAGGCATTCTGTCCCACAAAGAGTCAAAAAACCCCTTAAAATCAGTTTACTCTTTTATACCATCTGACTGGATAACTAACGTAAAAAATACTAAAATTTTCAAAGTAAGATGGGTTTGCCAGTAGTCTTAATTATCTAGAAGTCAAAATTCCTTTCTGGCAGAGCTGAAGATAAAGAAACGACAAAGAAACTGAAAAGGAAGAAGGGAAAGAAACAAATCTAAAAAACTCTCAAAGAATTTGGAATAGATTATCAACCAAGAGATCCCGGTTCCTGATCCACTACTATGACTGTCACATTCAGACACTGGGCTGCTTAAGAAACAGATCTTCAGCCAGGAGGCAGTGAATCAACATTACAGGTGCCAGGAACGTTTGGAGCTCACCTGCAGAGCAGGCAAACTACGTGCCCTTTCCCATGCTCCCCCGCATCATTCACCTCTTTCAATAAACTTTAATTTTTGTTGCCTACATTTTTAAATGTTCTTATAAATATACAAATTCTTTAGATACCCTCTGTATTTTACATGTATCTTAACCTGGGTTGTGTGTCAAATTCCTGAGCGTATGAGAACTCTGAGAACTGGCACACTGAATACTCACATTACCAGAAGCAACCCAGTGCATAGTTTAAAAGGTTGGGCAGAAGCACAGGCAGGTTGGACAGTGGTAATGCAGTACTATGCCATGGAAAGTGTCTTTTTGGACCAGTGTTAGCTACAGAAGCTTTCCAGTAGCATTAGATTTGTCATGTAATGAGTGTTTGGCTAGGTACAGAACAAAAAGACTGATGTTTGAAAAGATATAATATTTTACAAATACTTTATAAGGTCTTAAAGCAACTGGCACCTGAACGTAACACAGCCCATTAAAAACACCAGGTTTACTGAACAGAAACCATCTTGATTTAGAAAAACTTTTCAACTAAAGCAGAGAATACATGGCATCTAAGTGTAATAGTATTTTTGATTAAAACACTTTCTACCAGGTCATTCAGTTCAAAAATAAAAATGCCAAATTAACAGGGTATCAATAGGAAGCAACTGCTCTGCCGAAGCAGAGAGAACAGCTGTATTTAAATAAATTTAGAGAAAAAACAACGCAACCTAAGAATATACCGTCACCTATATGCTCCATAGATGTTTCAGAAAAATGCCAGTACAGAAGGGTCTACCAATGGTATCAGTATAATCCATGATACAGCCACAAAGCTTTATTAATGCCAAGCAATATTATCCTAGACAATTTACAGTCAGGCTTAAGACATTAACCAGTTGATAAAAAACTGTGTAGGAGAAATTCTTGATGAGCAACACTTCTTCTTCAATAACAATGCAACTTCTAATTTCTCTTTTTTCCAACTTGTGCAAAGTCTATTTTTATCCCATAAAGTACTGATTTTTGTACACATACCAGATAATTAAAAACATTTTCAGACAAGCTCAAGTACAGACTAATTTATATTGGCATTAACAGAGTTGCACCTGCTCATGCCAGCTTTGAATCTGGATCTCTCCCATTCAGATGCTTTTCAGCAGACATCCCCTAAATTTATCAGTGTGGTATGTCCAATGGCAAGATAAAGTGTAATGGCAAAAACTTACGGATTCCAGTGTTCTTTAGAAATCCTATAAAGGCTGGAAAACATGATGGGAAGTATAACGTTTGAATTCTCCTCTATCAAACTCATGATGTATTCGTTATTCCAATAATACAGTGCTCTTTCAGCCACCTTTGAGTCAAAGGAACAAAAGATTAACAGAAATTCAGACACCTATAATTTTGTAATTTTCTGAAGGAAAAAAAAAAATCACAGAGAAATTTCACAAAGACGAATTAACAGGAATCATTAACTTTGGAATTAAAACTCTACTTTAATCAGTAGCATAACATGCATTAATGGAATTAAGTTTTTATCCTGTAATTGAGATCCCACAGCATCCACTCTCTCTTTCCCCTGAGCGATATGTTGTTACTCACTGAAGACCAGGTGCAGACACTGCATTAATGCTGCAGCTGTGGAGGGGAAGGAAGACAGACTTCCCGTCGCCCCTTTCCCTCAATCCTGTGACTGCAGTTGGAAGGAAGAGAGCAGTGCTGGGATACCAGAGGAAGGAGACGGGGAAAGGCCCAGTAGCTGGGCTGAGTAAGGGAGGAGAGATCTTAAGTGTGGGGAAGGTACCAATGAGAATAATTACCTTGGGGAGGACGTGGGATGGGGAGCAGGAGGGAAAACACTTGATCTAAATTATGCTAAAAACAAATGTAGTCCAAGGGAGAGCCCAAAACAGTCACAACTGCCTTCCTGCCAGCATAGGTCACCTAGCATAATACGGAGACGCTACAGGCCATGAATCCTATCTCCTCTTGGCATATGATTCAATGAAAACCTGTTTATTCCCCTTCTTTCCATTATGCAATGTGAAGAAAACAGGCTACGGGTTCTATCACTTCTCACCAGACATCTCCTTCCAGAAGGAATTAAGTAGGAAAACAAGAATGCCACACAATACTGGGCTAAAAAAGGGAGCAAATACATCGTGTGTAGCCTATCAGTCTGAAGGCCATGCAGTGAGTACCAGTTACCTCCAGTCAGAAGGGCTCACAGTCTGCTTGGATACAGCTTAAGGCCTTATGCGGCTCAAAGGGCAAGTTCTGTGCTGCGACCCCAGACACATCTAACAAGTTATTCATGGGGCTCATAGCTAAACTTCCACTGCGACATACCCTCTTCCATAAAAATCCAGAAGACCAGTATTTAAAACCACCTAACACAAAATATTATTTACATCTTGGCAGATGTTAGGTTTGAAACCGAGACTATACATTGCTATAGAAACAATAGCCTCTACCACTGACCTGAAAATGAGGGCTAGAGACACACTTGGCAATTTGTTTAAACAAGGGTTCCTGGATTTTGACAAATTGTGATGGTTCGATTACATCCAAGATTTCCTCCAGCTCTCCTAGGAACATGACCTAAAGACAAGGAAGGAAGTATTGAATACAGAACCTCTGAATTATCTTCATCAGCAAAATGCTGGTAACCCTTAAATTCCATCACTTCAGGGAGAAATTGAAGCCTCACTAGCTCAGCAAGACCCTCTCTCAAAAAATGTGATCAGTTCTACCTTTAGCAGCTTCTGGATTCGGCCTCTTAAAAGAAAGAGGACAACTGTGTGCAAATGCTGTATTTAAAGTAGTCTTTTACAACAAAATTCAGAATTGCACCAGTATATCCATGCTGAAAACCAAACCTCACACAAAGAATTTGGCCAAGGATTAGACTTCGTAAACTAAGGAGAGTCTCTTAATTTTACCTCATTTTTGGAAATAATATTCAAAATAACTGTTCTGCTGTGTCACAAAATCTCATTAGGGAAACTCAGATTTGCATCAAGAATTTGAAATATAAATGCAAAGATCTAACTGCACCTTTTATGCATTAAGCAGGTAGATGTCAGACAAAGTATCTTTCATCCTTCCTAGAAAAATACTATCCTCACATACAAACAATTCCAAATCTAACAGAGTTTTCCCATCTATACTCAACTATGTTTCTTTTCTCCTTTCTAAATCAAAAATAAATTCTCTGCAGAAGAACCAATATTATTTTTTGAACAGAAACCATGGTTATCAAACTTTTCTCTTCAACTCTTCAAAAAACCAGAATTCAAGTATGGAAAATCATCTAGAAGAATACAAAGATGCACCACAGCATGTGCTATCTACCTGGAAATAGCTAAAGATTCCCTGCCCATTAGCGTAGAACAAAATAACTCTTATGTTTTGTTAATACTAGCATATCACTTACCTCCTTCTGACTGCAGGTTTTCGGCCAGAATTTCATTAAACCTCTAATGACCTAAATTAGAAGGGAAAAAAAGTTACATTTTTTACTTTTCTCTCAACAGGGTAAGCAGTTTATGATGTAAAAAAAAAAAAAAAAAAAAAAAGTATGAAAGACATATTTACTGGTTCTGTGAGTGACGGGTCTTTCTCCAGAAACTGTACTATGCAATACGCCAGCTGTGAAGCAGTAAAGATTTAAGAAAACTAAGTTAGAACATTTCTATACAGACACCACAAAGAAATAATTTTTTTTAAAAAAAGAGAGACTCAAGACAAAGCTTTCTCAAATTGCACCCAATTTTAAACTGAGACGCATATTTTGCACTGTGAAAATTGATTCAAACTTCAGTTCATAACTAACAACACATTACAAAAAAAATTAGGGTGACAAAGTAGCATATACAAGAAATATCAGAGCAACTTGGAATTCTAAATACAGCCATACAAGCAATCTTTTGAAGCGTCTGTTACTCTCTGAAACTGCGTCTTTTTACACATTTTATACGTCGGCAAAATGATGAAAACTCTTACAAGATGAGCCGACACAGCTAAAGCCTGAAATAACGTATTTAGAAAGCAGAGCTTTATCAGCATACAAGACTGCACTATCTGCTAATCAGAGAGAAAGGCAATAAGTATCACTTATCAGAGGAAAAACTACGTCATGAAAGAGGAATGTATAAAAAGATACATGAGAGCATAAATGCAGTATTAAGAAATCTGTGAGGGAGAATGTTAAAGATTATGAGAAAATGTGGGTATTAGTATTCAGAAAGTTGCCAGGGTGAAGAGAAGAGCCTTGACAGCACAAGACTAAGGAAACCCAAACATCCTCTTCGGAGAGGGGAAAGGGAATGGGAAAAGCAAACTTGTGAGAATGAGAAAATAGCAGAGGATAACCTAAAGAGAGAGTTTAACTACTAAACAAAATCCTCAAAATATTACAGATGTATGTTACATTTTTAATTACCTAATCAGAACAGAAAACATTTATCATACCAAGCACGTTAAATGAATTAAAAAAAAAATAATAATCTGTTGCATTTTTTCACCTTCCCCCCACCTTTTTATATGCTAAGCAACTAAATTTCCAAAGCAACCTTAAGAAAAATAAAAATATTCTAACTGAGCAGAAAATATTTATATAATTTCTACCTGTGCATGGAAGAGTGATAAACTCCTGACAGTATGTAAAGGGATCAGCACCTTCACCAGAAACTGTTTATGCTCTGCCTTAAGAGGTAAAGCAAAACCATTGATAATACTAGAAATTAGAAAAGAAACATTTGTTAGTGTTATCATCACAGAAAACATTCCTGAGGTCTGAACTTTCTAGATTAAAATAATTTAGCAGTCAGCACCTGTTTACAAATAGCAGGCTCAGGCCATTTGTAAAGAGGTGCTGACTTTTGTCGTGCTTTATATCAGCAGTGCAGTAGATATCTAGGCAGCAGTTCAGCTCCGACTCAGGAATAATCATACAAACAGCTGCACAAACCTGTTGCCAAGGGTAAGACCTTGTCTACGTGGTCTGTAAATTCATGTAAGCAAGGTGTTCCTACCAGAGTTAAATTTGCTCAAAATATTCATACATTTGAGTATGCTCAAAAAAAAAAAACCCCAACAAATAATTCTGCAGCACGTAAGGATGAAGTGCACAAAATTTAATGCACACATACGGACACACAAAATCAATCCAACACTTTTGGCTGTAACTTACATCCAGTTATATATTCTTGGCAACGATCTAGCAGAGATTTGCACATGGGCTTAAAGATGAGCACGTGCGCAAATCTGTTTTCAGAATCAGGGCTTATAGTATTACTTTTTCCGAATCTGACACTATTCTGACGTGTCCAAAAGGGAAGTTCAATATAAATAATAAATAAAGACTTGTTTACCTTCCTAAAATTTCCAACAGTTCAGCTACGCCATTGAAGTGTTCAGTTTCATAAACAAATCTAAAAAAGAAAAAAGTTAAATATATGTAATATATCAGTTTCCTAAAATGTTCATAAGCAAAAAGTACCTTCTTCCACAACTTACCGTAGAAAAATATTATTTATCTGTTTTCGGATAAATGCTCTAAGACCCAGAAACTTGCCATAAATTCTGTGCAAGACTGTTTTTAGGTAGTCTCGTTCTCGAGGGTCTTCACTGTCAAACAGCTCCAACAGCTGTGTTTAAAGGAAAAAGAGAACTGAAACATAGACATTTGACAAGTATGACACACAAGACTTCTATACAGAAGTTAAACTGATGAAGCCACATGCATGCAAGAATGTGAATCTGTGTTACTCAAGATGCAGAAATACAGTATTAAAAAAATCTGTTGCAACTAACCCCAGTACAACCATGAAACTCAGTTTATTAATTTCCACTTCAGACATAACAGAACTTTGGAAATCGTCAAACGACTAAAAAACTTTTGATTAACTGGCTCCAAAATGCTGCCTTCCTTCTCCCCAAAAATAAATAAAATTCTTAGATGCTGTCATATCTACAAAATAAGACTGTTTGCCTTCACTCTGCAGAACTAGAAGATCTCCACTTGCTCTAATATTTCGGTCCCACAACATTGTGTCAAGGTTGCATTTTTCTAATTGCTTGTCACGTACATCTTAAGCCTTCCTAGTGACTGCATGGCCTTCACGCTGTGGAAAGACTCAACAGCGAAGTCTATGCCAGCATCAGATCTGCGGTTACAGGATCTCCACCAACTGACACAAATCAAACCATCAGAGGAATTCATCCTCCAGGTTGAACAAAATGGTAACTTCAATATCCAGTTTAAAACAAAACAAAACAAAACAAAACAAAACAAAAAGAACAAAAAGCCACAAACCAACCAAACAAACAAAAAAACCAACCAACAAACCAACAACAGAAACCCCACCTTTACTAACTAACTCTTCAATAAGATTTAAAAACAGCAAAATGATTATGTGGTGCTCAGTCAAAATAGAAAGCCATCCAGTGTCTTGCATCACACCAAATATATCCTGAAACACTGATGCCTGAAGTTGCCTCTAAGAATTAAGGCATGAAATAAGCAGCAGGAGTACCACCTGCAGATCTTCGTTCTACCCCTTGAATCCTCTACCACGAAAGTATAAGCTTCCCCTTACCCCTTCTTCTTCATCGTTTTTTGACTATTGGCTATTCTGGCAGACATTTGGAGTAAGTTAGAAGGTAAAATTAATTTAAAACCAAAATGAACCAACCAACCAACAACAACAAAATGAAAACCCACCCCGCACCCCCCAAATGCACAGAAGACAGGGAAGTTTAATCATAAGCAACCAGTATCTCTCTTGCATGAAACAGAAAGTAACGGCTAACAAGTACCTGTCTTGCAAAAGAAACAATGACAGTTTGCTAAAGAAGTCTCACAAATTTATAAGATGCCGTATATATAAATATATATACACAATATATGTATATATATAAAATGTATAAGATAAAACAAAACAGTTTTGTTCACAAATCATCAATACCTATTTTAAGTAATATGTCAGTGTATGTCTACTACCTGATCTCTGTTAAACTGATACACAACTTTGAGGAGGTGAAAAAGAAAAAAGCCAGAAAAATATGATTAAAAGTTGTTAAGCTGTCTGGGATTTTGCTTTCTAACATCCCGCTTTAGGACTGATGAACATATTCTTCTTCATTGTTTTGGATGTTTCTGTAGCTTATAATGAGATCCCACTATCTCTTCCTTGCAGTAAGAATCTGTGGTGGGAATTTCATGAGGAAACGATGTTTGTCAGCTGCCCTCCAGAGGTTATAAACACACTGCTTTGTTCAATTAGTTCTACAGTTAAATAAATAAATAGTCACCTCATCCTTCCCCAAATAGTAAATTTCACCCAAAGACAGCAAACAGCTGGAAACACTTATGTTTTTAATTTTCTTATTGGATTGCTTTTAGGAACAAAATATTTATATTTCCAGTTCTCTTATACAGATCCCTCTATAGAAACATTGCTGAACCAGGACTCAACCTCTCATTTAAAAAAAAAAATATACATTTTGATATGTCCAATTTGTTATCAGGTTTCAACAACAAAGTCTTATTTTTATGGATAAGCTGCAAGACTTCCATAATTTACGTGACTATTCTGACACTAAACATACATAGAAAAGGGAAATAAATTTTCCAAAATAGCAACCTACATAACACAGACACTTGTGGATATATTTGAACAGTATGTCTCTTAGCAACCACTGCCAACCATTTCAGACCGTATATAAGCAGGCTTTAGAAATTAACAGTTACACTGTAAAGTACAGCATTTTATCAAAACATAGAGCTAAAAGCCAGAAACACATCTATATTCAAAAAACAAAAGCAAAAAGTAAGCAAAGAAAAACCTTGAAAAATGCCCATTAAAAAAACGATCACTTTTTCATACAGGCATTTTTATTGCCAAGGAACACTTCATTGAAATGCCTCAAATTTAAAAAAAAAAAACAAACCAAACAAACAACAAACAAATTAATTTAGACAGAAAGCTGATTTCAAAGACTGTCACACTTGTGTGGTCAGTGCCATGAAACACCAAACATGCTTAACGTTCTCAAGTCTCAAACTGGTTTCCTATGTAAGTGATCTGTAGTCACAGGTTCTTAGGAGTTACTCTAGACACACAACGAACACAGTAAGAAGTGGAAGGACACCCAGTTCCTACAGGCTAAGCACAAACACTTCTACACATGAAAATATATCTACTTGGATGTATATATAAGGCTCAATAGGACTTTTTATAGAAAAATGTGAATTTTGAATTGACACACTGTGCACAGCAATATGTAAAAACTCATCACCTAACCATGTAGCAGAAACTTAGGAATTCTTAGGAAAGCAGGAACTTTTGAACTCTTCATTGTCATATCATACATTTCCAGATACATAGGTTTTAAAATATCCTATTTCCCTCTTTCAGTAGATACCATTCTTTCATCTAGTAGATTTAATAAAAACTAACATGATCAAAAAAAACCCTTGTTTTAGACCCATTCTCCCATGTCAAATTGTAACAGGTTTGAATGTCTTGAAAGGGCAAGAGTGAGCAGCATGCTGCCAGTCATGACCAAGTTCAGCACCACATAACAGGAGCATCTAGGAATTATTTTCTCTAGATTTTGAAGCAGGCCACAAGCATTCCTTCTAAATCCATCTAGATTCCTGCTAAATCTAAAAAAATAAAATCAGTCTGGAAAAACCTGGCAAGAGTGATTACCCCCCCTGCATATTCTTACATCTCCACCAGGTACTGGATGACCAGATTGGCACACTCCTTTGTTCAAATCAATATTTAGATGAACAAAAAGGAAACTCCATCATAGAGGTTTGATCCAAACGAAAAATCCTCTTGTATTTAGAAGATGGATAAAATAAAAGCATAGGTATATCCCATTGCTTTGTACAGTGACGAAGGTCTCGTGATATTAAGAAGGAAACTGAAGTGCCTTCTTTGAATTTAAGGATAGAAATTGTTCTCTCTGCTACATTTTTCAGTATTCTTCAAAAAGGTAACATACAAGGACAATAAAGCACTACTTTTATTGCCTGAGCACTACAAGGAAAAATAAAAGCTCATGACAAAGGGGTGAGAGAAAGGTCTTCAGAAATGCTGAGTATCTCCTGCCACTTCTAGTTTGGCTTTTATTCAAGTCTCAGCCCGCAAGGAAACTCCCTTTTCTAGCTAAGTAGGAATCTTTCTAAATTCCCCTGATTTCAAAAACAAGCTATAGACAGCATTAAACACAAAGTTCTTTCTGTCTTTGTGGTTATACAAAGATTCATGATGGGAACAGAAAACACAAGACAGGCCTATTCCCGAAAGCTAAGGACAGAAGTTGTATCAGTGGAGTTTCCCGGCTTATCCCAGAAAACATCTTCTTCAGCCATCTCTGTTCTGGCATCTGTCAAGGCCTGGGCAAAAACTCCTCAGTAGAGAAGACCAGCTGCTGTAGTTTCAAGTGAAATCACAAAGCACACAAGAAGCCTAGCTTGTACACAAGGAGAACAACAAAATACAAGTAAAATACCTGGCTACCAGCTGACCGACTGACAGAGGCCATCTCTGCCATTTAGCTGTAGCAATGGCAAGCAAACTACAAAAACAAAGCCACCCAGTCTTTGCTAACGCTGTTTATTATTGAGGCTACTGCTTCTTCCACACTTTTAATAGAGCTTGAACTTCATATGGCTTTTTGATTTACTTCCTCCCCGATCACTACAGCACCACTGTTTTCAGTACTGCGCTGGGAATAGGTTTGTGAATGAACTTCTGCCCCTGTTGCCAGCTCTCCAGCACAGGTAAAAGGAAGAAACATTCTCCCCTTCCACCAGAAGTATTTGAACAATATTAAGACACATTAAAACTGACATTTAAGTAGTCTCTCTAGATAGCAGCATTTTTAGACTACTTGATATTAAACCCTTCATTTTTCAACACTGTTTCAGCAACCTCTCATAACCAGTAAGTCAAATATTTTGACTAAGGTATCAAAACTGGAGCCAAACCAACTATTTCATATATCTAGAGCAACAGAGACTGAAATACACACACATGCATATTTCCCCTACCACTGTAGACTGAAAACCTTCATTGTATATGCTTGTTTAGCGTTTTTCTGTTGCAAATAAATTTACACTTTCAAATTCTAAACAAAATCTTTTTAAAGAAACTTTTTTCAAAAGCAAAATGAAGGCTTAAAGTAAACAGATCAGCTTACCTGCAATACAAATTTCTGATCTATGTACTTTTTGGCAATGCTGGGCTGAAATTCTTGGCTTTCCAAAAATCGTATGAAAAACTCATATACAAGCTGCAAAAGAAAAAAAACAAAACAAAACAAAACAAAACCCACAGTTTAGTTTATGACTTGATTTCTCTTTGTAGTTTTAAGTATTTCCCTAACTTATTTCGCTAGAAACTTATTTTTTCCACAGAGTTAAAAAAAAAAAGAAAAATATTTTTCTCCTCTATCAAATTGGTACCTTAAGAGTTAGAATTAATTACATAGCTTTTTAAGTTAGTTTTGCTTATTTAAGTCCAGTCAAAGACATTCCATCACCAAGAACAGGCACTGCCATCTTGTAACGCTTGTTATCGTCTTGTAACACTTCCTAGAATAATTGCAAAGCACATTTAAACTGCCCTCTGAACTGCTTAAGTCACATCAAATACATACATTACAACTCTGAAAGGGTTGGCAAAACAGTTGGAAATATTTAAATTAAATTAGAAACTGCTTAGAGTAACGTTCTACTACAATTTAAAACACAGAAGGAGAATACAAACCGGAATTTATTCAGAAGTTCCTAACTTACTGTAAAGATTAGCCTCGGGGCTGGAGGAAACCTGCTTACTTCCCTGCAATTCCACCTCTGCCTAAACTATTCAGCGGGACAGCAACAAGCTTTCCATTTAGTGGAGAAAAAGAAGAGTATAAAAACCAGGGAAAAGGGAGTTGAAGTGAAACAGGGACTGCTGTGGCCTTGTAAGACAGCAGTCCCTGTCCTGTCACCGATCAGATGAGCTACCAGCTAGCAATTCTTTGCTGCACCTTCTCAAGAAGAGCAGCCATTGAAATTTATTTTCCTTTCTGACTTCAGCAAGTATGAATATTGATACCGAAAGCAGAAAGGAAGATAAAAGTTACGTTTTAAACATATTAACACCAATACGCTGCAATACTGCTGCTGCTGCTGCTTTCTGTCAGTGTTCTCTGACTTCTACAAGGAAGCAATAGGAAATCAAAAAGGGGGAGAGAGGCTGAGAAATACAACATGGAAAAAGTGACAGCTTACATAACTAATATTAAATCATCAGGAAATCAATTCCATCAACTCCTGACAAATACTTTGATGCATTTCTTCCTGACATTGGTAAATCATTCACTGACTAAGAAATTCCGTCATTTCCACCTAAGAACGAACTTTACAGCACTCGCATCAACGAACATAAGGTAACAGACATGTACGCCTGTGCTGTTTCCAGGCAGGCAGAGTCGTTCTGAGCTACCTTGAAGCTTTTAAGACACTTATTTTTTCTGAAATTTAAATATAAATGAGGGATGAAACTTACATTTCAACAGATTCTAAATCTGAGAGCACAAAAGACCGAAACAAACTGCTCACAGGCAAGGCTTGTGCATGCAACTCTCACACAAAATCCTCATTTCGAGCTGAGATCCATTGTGCTCCTTTGCTCCTAGAAACTCCCAGACTCCACAAATTGTTACTCAGGCAAACTTCTAAATTTAGTAGTGATGTAAGTCATCGTCCTAACTAACACAGACAGGATCTGCATCTATATGTTCTATAAAGGAATTTATTGCATTAGCATCATTGATGCTCTCTCCAAAATTAGCTTATGTTCTTCGTTCAGAATACCCTGCGTTGACCCTCGAGGTACAGAGGAAGGGATGATATGTGGCAGTGAGCGTGTACCCTGCTACAAACACCTGAAACCAAACCTCGACCCAGGGAGAGGAAGGAAGATGTAGATTCTCATTCATTTTTCTGATCAGCAGCCAACGCCTGTGTACTTTTGTATGAAAATTAACTACCCTGGGTAAAGCAGGACTGCCGGCAGTCTCATCCCCACAACGCTCTTGCTGAAGTTGTTGAAAAACGATTGTGCATCAGAGCAGTATGCACAATAATGCATAATAATTTTTAAATCAATGAAGGAAAACATGAACACGAGGGACATCATCGATACAACTTTGAAAGAAAGCTTTAACATTTCACAAATTTCAAAGTACTCTTCCATCTTTGTAGGTACTATATGATAGCCATGAACAGTATCAATAAATGTTAGTGTCACACAGTCTAGTTCTGATTCATAGGTTAAGAAAAAGCTGAGAAAATTATTAGATACATTAAGCAATTAGAAGCATTTCTTCTGAGATAAATGATCAAAAACCTGTAAATGTGGCCATGATGCCTCCAAGGTGGGCTCATCTTCTTCTGGATCAAATTCATTGCTGTCACTAGGTGGGAGAGTTCTGAAGATATTGCAAGATACCTGAAAAGGGAAAGAAAGAATGATGAGTTCTGTTTTTCAAATAGGTACTAGATTTCAGGACTCTCTATGTCTATACCTACTCTATCCTCCATCACGTAAGCAGTATTCCTTTTGCCTGCTCTCTGACAAAGTTCTTCGGCAACAGCCCAGGTCCAAGGAACCTGTCACTTCACAAACGTGCCACCAGCCTTGGCTTTTCCTTCTCCAGCTCTTTTTGTTTATTCTTTCCACTGATATCCCAGCATTACCCAGTCTCCCACCATTTCTGTCCACCACGTTCCAGATGAGCCCACCAACATATAATTCCCAATCCTACTAGGCATCAATGGACTGAGAGCCGTAACTGCTGCGGGAAATGCCATCAACACGCATTTACAAGTGTTTTCATACAACACTTGGTTATTTTCCTTTGCACAAGGAAAACAGTAATGATATCTTCTTAAGGTCTCATCTGTCAGCACTTGTTAGGAACTGCCAGTGCTATTCACACATTATACGCCTGGACACCTCATGCCAAGAACAGAACCTGGTACTAAATGCAACCAACAAATAGTATTTGCTCGACACTTAGCCTACATTTTATTTCATGGTTGGTTCGCTTTGCTTAATCTTATTTAGAGGTATTTTGCTGAGACTGCTTGGCTTTGTGAGGTTCATGCTATCAGCAAAGACTGAACCAGAGTGCTTTCCTGGATTAATTACAGTGCTGAATGGAGTGTACAGCTTATTATGCGGCAAATCTGATAAACTGCAAACATGCTGTAGGGCCTTTCCTGCACTTTGAAGGTGATGTTGTGCCTTCTTTACACTCTGCTACTGCATTTGACCCGTCTCTAAGCTGGTTAATCAAACAGCTGGGAAAGGCAGCATGTTATCTCCTAATCCTGTCTATACGTGACCCCTGCATAGTAGTTCAGATAAACTAAGCTATTTAAGAAACAAAACTAGCGTGTTCTTCAACATCCTTATTTATTTTTTCAGCCTTTTACTCCTGTAAATGTTTTAAAGTTAGTCTGTAAGGCATAATTTCAATATGTTACCAACTTAGTAAGAAAGGGCATTTTAAAGCCAAGAGTTTAAACACAATCCAAATACTGATAAAACCAGACTGAAACAGAGTGAAGCTTTAGAACTTGCAAGACAAATAGAACAGATTCAGGTACTGCATGAACAGAAAGATGAAGCACAGAAAACTGTAGGAAAGCACATGTGGTGCAAACTAAGGAGGAATATTCACTGAACACAAGGGAAAGACAAAAGAAGACTAAGTAAGGCAAACCAGGGAGCATGGAACAGAAAGAGGTCACGCGGGTTTCTGCCTGGACTTTTTCCTTCTTGCCACAAGAGGGTGTGTTTCACTGCAGTTACAGCAAAACACACTTCTACAGAAGCCTTCGCTGTACATGTAAATCTGTTTTCAAGTCGCATGTCCTTCAACCTTGATGGATACAGCACTTCTCATAGCCTGTGCTGGTAGATACTGATCTCTACTCGCCCTGTACGCATACCGGCCAAGGGACTACCAGCACGATTAGGAGGTAACTCTCTCCCTTCTCCGTCCTCTTCCCCCAGCTCATTCACTTCTCTCAAGAGCCCCTCCATGAAAAGACTTTTCTACTCTCCTGAGAAGTCAAATAACTATTCCAGGAACACACACATGTTATAGTTTGTCTTTCCTCAAGGATTCTTGAGCTGCTCCTTCTACTATCCTCGATCAGAAAAAGCAGGGAGAGGAGGAAAGTGACCAGAATTAGCAGGACAGAGTTGTTTCTGTGTTAGAGCACAAGGCAAAAGAGGGTAGACAGCCCAAAGGATTTCCAAGTGAAAAGCGGGAAAAGTACCTATTGGTGCCTTGGATCTGAACATCTGGGATTCTGCAATACTTACTGAAGCATTTCTGGTTAATGCTTAACATTCAAAAATCCCAGCTTTCTCAGGATTTGGACCAAAATAAGGAACCAGCAAAACCAAAGGCATTCTGAAGCTATTTCTTTTTCTGCTTTAAACTTAATTTGAAACAAGAAATTTTTCTGCGAATTTAACCATACAGAAACTAGTGAAACTTGTACCAAGAGATCAGAGAAAACATAAGTACTCATCGGCTGTTGTGTTTAGAAACTGGAACAAATACTGAATTATGGCACAAGCAAAACCTGCAAGGAAAAGTACATACTTCCACAATGAAAAGCTAAACTAAGACAAATTCCTGTAAGATTTAAATTAAGTCAAACCAAGCCTCAAGCAGTTAGTGCCAGGGCCTTAACAGCATGACAGAAGTATGAAGGGTTCAGCAACAACTAGTTAAGTGCCAGCACTGACACCTGAATCTCGAGCTTGTAACAAAACTAGTATGATTTCTGGAGAGTGCCTATTTAAAAAGGGCCAGTCTCAAGGCAACTCAAAAGCAGGTTTTTTGCATAAGAAAATTAACATGCAGGAGTAATTAAAGTTAGAATACGGTCCTAGTACACAATTTCCTCTCTTTGATTTTCTTTTTTGCATTAGGAGTAAATATAAGTTATATGGAGCTAAAATGCAGATATTCTCCTGAGAAGAACAGACGGAGCAGGTTATCGTTAAGTGATTTCCCCAGGTTACCATAATTTTAAAAGATAATGTGTGCCATTACAGTTACATTAATCACCACAACACAGCATGATAGCTCATTTACATGCAGTGTCAATTTATAGCATGATTATCTAAACCGGTAGCCTCTGGGTGGCTAATGTTTATAAGCCTCTAAGGGAGAACCGAAGACAAGAAGTTCTTCCATGCATGAACTGCCCAGCTGTATGTTAGAGACTTTGACAGCCACCACACAAAGATGGGAATACGCTACATGAAAACTGGGAAGAGTATTTTTTTTCAGAGAGGCAGAAGGTAGCTATTTAGTATTTATCCCTGGGCCCAAGCAGCATGCCAAAATTCCTTCAGCTGGATAGCTGAATCATTTCGCTTCTGACCTCTGTTGGATCATCAAGCCAAAGGACATCTCTGCCAGCCTGTGCATACAGTCCCTGATGATTCCTCTCCCATAGCCACCACAAATGACTATTGACTGATACTTACTTCTGTCTTCCACTGATTAGGAATGCCTCCAAGCCCAGATGATATTTTTGTAAGGCAAACTAGAATTCTAATATTCTAGAAAGTTGTGTCATGACAGATCTCCCCCATTATGTCCTCAAAGACATCTGCATGCTGTCCTCCACGACTGTCCCTTTCAGAAGCACACACCAAACTGGGTGTAGAAAAGCAGATCACTGCTCTCCTGCTATGCAGAATTTGAACACCCAAGTGCCAGAAACCAATTTACCAAATCAGTAAAATCTACCCATTGGCACTGAATCTAAAATTTCCAAGATTTAATTGGAAGATTAAGATTTTTAAATCAGAGATACCCTGAAGCTTCTAAACTCCACATCAGCCAGGCACAACTCTGACCAAAAGCAAGACAAAACTTTTCCAGGCAATTACAAGTCAATGCCGTTTCATTAACAACAAACAAGATAGGGAAGGCTGCTCTGATACCCCCACAAAGAAAGAGCTGCAAGTTCTGAACAGATCTAACGACTGGTACCTGGCAATGCAGAACTACAAAGCTATGAATATACAGTTAAAACTAACAAGCTTCATGAAGGCTTTGATTTTTATCACCACATTTATATTTGAAATAACTTTTAGAAAAGAAAGTACTAAGAGGCTTAAGTCTGAAGCCAGGAATAAATGTTTTGAGAAGTCCTCTCTTTGTCCCTCACTGGAGCACCATAACAATGACAATGCTGTAACAGAAACACTTCACAAATTCAGTTTCAGCTCAGCGCTCCTACTTTGTGCTGTTTGAAACGAAGATTTTTATCAGTAATAGTTTTCCTGAATGGAGCCTGAAATGAAAACAAACATAAACGCAGGGAAGCTTAATATATTAGCTATACAAAACAGGGTAAGTGAATATGCAATTAGCTCTCAGGGAACACCTGTTCCTCTATCACCAAATTGTGGAACTCTCCAAATAAACCCCATGTACATGCAAAATTGAAAGCAAGTATCTCCGCACACACAGTGTTTAAACTACTGTGCATATTAACAACATACAGAAACAATAAAATGTAATTAAGCCATAACGTGAAGCCATGCTAACTGGGAGACAACAACGGCTCCTGGAACAGACACTAAACTTGTCCTTCTGAAGTATATCTGCACATGTGGGGGTTTTAATATTGTTTATGGATTTACATATTTTAGAGCCTGAAGTGACTACTGCAGTCACTCAGCCATAATCTCTCTACATAATCCATTGAATTGTTCCCAGAAGTTTGACTAAAGTACATCTTACAAAAAGTAATATCTAATTTTTATCTTAAAAGGCTATAAATGATCCCATCAGCTCTCTCCTAAAGTTTTACTACTGATTTAACTACAACACAGCTTCTGATTTCACTGTTAGATCTGCCTGATTCCTTGTTGGGTTTTGTTAAATCACCAGATCTCTTCTACATCTGTACATGTATTTGCATATGTAGTATGTATCTATTTATACACAGGTATTTTTATATAGCCATGACACTTCTCAACCTCTGTGGTGCTAAATGGAAACATAGAGCTTCTAAACCCAGGCAGTTGTTGGTTTCTTCCTTTGTTTTTAATCCCGAGATTATTTTTGCTTCCTTCCTTTGAGCTCCCACCTGTGAAGAACAACTGTACTGGGGTACATATAAAAAGCCAGACCACCTCCCTCTTTTTTTTCTGCATGTTGCCATTTTAATTTATCAACATTCGCTCCTTTGAATAGTGCACTGTACCAGAAACTCATATTAAGATACTCATGATAGTAATCCACAATGCTCAGGTCCTTTTCTGCATCACCACTTGCCTAAACACAGTCTTTCAGGGCTTAGTACTACATGCCTTCTTTTTGTCCCGCTGCATTACTTTTGACTTGGCTGCATTAAAATCAACTACATTGGACTGTGAACAGTCAACAATCCAGATCAACAACA